TGGTACATTGGTTCTCTCTCCAATAACAGCCGCAAGTTGGCCAACTTTGCTGGTTTCTACAAGGGTATCCAGTCTGCTGGCGCTGCCGGAATGTGGAGGTAAGCGACCCTGCTCTTTTCTTCTCTTTGCCCTTTCTGTAACTAAGATACGGTCAGCCTGGATGCAAAGGAGACTGCATATATGACCGAATTTGCCTCTTGCTGGGGTATGCTGGTCGGTAGTATGCTAGTTGCCTCGCCTGTGATTTTCTTCAAGGTCAAGGACAGCACTGCCGTTGCGGACGATTTGCGATTCTCCGATGAAACCGCCACCGAAGTCTTGGGCTACATCAACGAGATGTCGGAGATGGATAAACCTTGTACAGAAACCGACACTCCAACTGAGACCCTCCGCGACTCTCACGAGGAGACTACAACCAAATAATGAATTATCGGGGAGGGAATCAACAATTCCCATCGATGACATGCATGGTGTAGCACGCGGCCAATTTTTTGATTTAACTACCATCTTTAACCACCTTCTTAATTCTCACTACATTGTGACGGAATACCTGCATTTACGAGGCGTGTCGCTACTTTGTGCTCGCGAAAATTCCGGCCCACAGTTGCTCCGCGGGTCATGAGACACCCAACGAATACTCAATGTCAGTGAATACTGTTTTCTTTTGATTATCTTGTACATTGTTCAGGGTGGCTCTACTCTTTGGTCGCCAGGGGCTCTTATCCGGGGTATGCTTTGGGTCTGCCATGGTTATAGGGGTAGGTGTTCGTCTCAATAATGCGTACATAACGTAATTTCTCAACCCACAACGCTATTGAGTATCATCAATATCCAGTCCGGCTCACCTAAGGACCTCTCTCAGACTAATTCATTAAACCTAGAAGTCTTTGTAGCCGTAGGCAACGGCACCGAAGACTGGGTGTGAGTCGCCGACTTGGGCCCAGTCGAGCCGGAATTTTGCTTCAATTTCTTTTCTCCCTTGGGCAATTCCCATCCATTCAGCGTACGATTAAAAAGCTGCAATGCAGCCTCTGGCTGATAATACGGCACCTCGTGACCGGCCTCATAGACACGGGTGAAAGAGAAATTCCCATATTCCCTCGTTACACCATACTCGACACCATCGACGAGGAAGGGCGCATAGCCCGCCTTCTGGAATTGCTTGCTGTACTGATACTTTGCCGCGAGGGAAATGGCCTCGCCGCCGAACCAGTTGCAGATGTAATCTGCGTCACCGTAGATGAGAGCGACGCGGACGGGGAGAGAAAGGATGTCTTCCAGGTCCTCGAGGAAGTTGGGCCAGACAAAGTCACCTGTTTGTTGGAAGGCGAAGTAGACTTCGTCGTTGGATTGGGTGTAGTTCACGTCCACACCCAGAGCGTTCATTACCGAGTCTTTAGCGAGGTAGTTTGCGTAGTAGCCTTCTGGGGTTGGGTCGTCGCTCGGATGGCGAATGTCGTAGGTGCCTCGGCCGCTGAAGGCATAGTACGGGCTCTCTGGGTTGGTGATTTTTTGTTAGTTATTTCGGTAGATGGGGTATATGGGTACGGTCTGCATACCGACGTTGTCCCGGCACATGTTGGCTGCCTCGGTGCAAAGCGCCAGGTCAGATACGGAGGTGCGGTTCGTAAGCTTGCAGGTTGCGATTTGGTCCTGGCAGCCGTTTGGCATTTCGTTGGCAAATTTCATGTAGTTGTAAACTGTTTCGTTGATCTATCTTCTTCGTCAGTGTAAAACTATCTCATGGTAACTTTGACGACCTACAGCCTTGATGCCATACGTGTTGTTCACGGCAAACTCAGGGTAGTGCTTGGCTTGAATTCCTTCATCGATGATACCATTTATGATACCCAAGGTGTTGAAGTCTAGTTGGATGCCATCCTTAATGCCGTTGGCAATCTTGAGATTCTCGTCATAGAAGTGATCGAAGAACTGCCAGTGTTGAGAGTTTTAGTAAACGGGATACGATTTAGACAGACAAATTGACTCACGGCAGGGCCATAATGTCTGAACGAAGTCAGTAATGATATATCAACAGAGTTTTCGAAAGCATCAGAGCGAACTTACCCTCCATAGCTTTCGGTCCACAAATTGAAGCTCTTCGACTTGATCTTCGAGTCCAGCTTGGGGAGGCCACCTAGGAATCCCTGCAGTATTTCCCAGGTAGCTTTGGCAGCGAGTACAGTTGTATCAATTGCAGTGGCGTTGATGACTGGATAGCGACCATCAATGCCTGCAACGGACGGGTCTTCATATGAACCTGTGATAGGGTTAAGAGTGCCGGCTGCTTTCTCAGCGTAGGAGAAACCTGGGATTATGTTAGTTAAATGTTTTAAAAAATAAAGTAGCAGGTGTTTAATACCAACACCCAGTGGCTGAGAGAGAAATAGCAAATTTGAGACCTCATTCCAGGAGTTCTTATTGATAAAAGATTCATTGTTCTGGTTGACACCACATGGACCCAATTCCTCGAACAATCCAATCAAAGAATCACTGCCCGGTCCACCATTTAACCACAAGGTGATTGGCGCATTTTCGGGGTCCTGGCGAGCCTCGAAGAACCAGAAGAAAGTGTGCTCTGTGGGTGAGAGGTCCACATAACCCGCATATGAGTTGACACCCGGGGTAGTTTCACAAACACCTTCTTTGCCAGGCTCTTTATAGCGAATAGTGACATTATTGGCCGTCTTGATAGATTTGACGCCTGTTGGGTGCTCGGGTAGCTGGCGGCGAAATAGGGCCTCCAAGCGCTCGAAGCCGTCGTCCGATGGCACTGCGAGCGCCGCCACAGTGGGCAGTAATGGAATCCAGCGGGCGATACGCATAATGAGTTGTTCACCGTAACGAATACGGAGGTTACGGGGGGGGGGGGGGGGGGGGTTATGGGGATACTTATAGTCCCAGAAGAGGAGAGATAGACTAGTGATCGTGCATGAGACGGGTATTCAATCGATTTGGGGAAAAGGTCGGTGAGATGTAAGCCGGGTGATTGATCTCCGTGGGAGCTCCGGGGAAGGTAACCTTTAAAGAGGGGGAAACGAGTCAAAGATCCACCAAGAGCTCTTAGAAATTCAGTCATTTGACCGAGTTAGGCGTTGATGGGAAAAGATCGACAGCGCTAGATTGTACCTTGGGAGCTGTGTCTCTCCTGCCGATAGCTACGGCCTTTTAAAAAAGAGACTCTTCGGTAAAGAAAATTCTTGTGACGGGTTTCATGGAGTTTGTGGAATCTGTGGAATATTGAATACAATCCTGCCCATTTTTTTTGGAACTACACATTAATAGCACCATGGAAGATTTGGTATCGCATGCACTTCAGGTAGCAGGAACAGGCCTCGAGGACCAAGTATTGGGATCCTATATAAGCAACGTTCGCTAAGCTGCATGAACAGCAACAACCAAAATCCACACGTTTGCTCTTGTTCTAAGTGATAGCGATTGTAGATAATCCTAGTCTAGTCATTGGAGTATCGATGCCCAGAGCCAGGAGAAAGATCTTCGGTCATATCAATCATCTCCGGGGCTAAGTAAATAGACCTGACAGTGAGGTCATTGCTGTGACCATGCTATTTCGAAGGAGAGAAGAGCCAATGTGCTTTGAATAAAGGGTCAGACTGTACTCCGTAGATGGTAGTCATAATAAGCGATGTTGATCTAGCTTGGCCCCATCACTAACAAACTAGCGGCTGTCACAGCCAAAATTAAGTCAAATTTTTTTTGAAGCACATTACCTCCAAGTCATAACTTTCGAAGCATTGCTGGATATATGGTCAAAGTAGACCAGTCGATGGACCTAGAAGGAATTGGATGGTAAAGTCAACGAAGCAAACACTCATCCGACGAAATAAGTGTCAAGTGTCAAGTGTCAAGTGCGGGATGGGAGAAAGAGAGCGGGAAGAGGGAAGAGGGAAGAGGGAAGAGAATGCAAACCAGTCAAACAATCTGGAAGACAAAGGGAGCAAAGTGAACAAACAGAGCAAAGAAGCCGAAATCAAAGAAACCAAACACAGCTGATTGTAGTCAGCGATCGTCATGGATATGATGTGGTACATATTCGGTAGGCACCACATGGGGAAGTATAAAGAAATGTATGGAAGCCTGAGGCACTTGAGAGGAACCATTGTATTATGGTTATCGGATTCTAAAATGGACTTTCTAAAGTTGCCGATCGCACTATAATGGACAGCGGTCCCACATCTCATTTCCTATTCCTCTTTCTGATTGCTAGAAGGGACAGCAAGGCTATCATGAACTGCCCTATATATCAGGCCACAGCATTTATGTGCCACATTTCATTCCCTTTCAATATCTATTATAGGTAGGAATGGAGGACGTACCTACATGGTTCTTTTGGATGTAAAGGAGAGTAGATGTACAAATTCGGAAGAACTATTGATCCGAAATTAAGTGTGTGGTCTCAGACTCCCCGATCATCCCAGTTCAGGTCTGATTGGATTCATTTCCATAACCAATGATTATTGGCTGATTTGGTATGTCAAAGTGGGAATAAGTGGAAATCTGTCGAACAAAGACGTTGACCCCTGGCTAATCCGTACACCTACTCGTAATATAAGCCCCGACTTTGTTGAAAGGGGCACAACGTTTGTTCTCTCCTGTTTACTCCGTACATGTCTGGAGTTTCACCAGTGAAACACAGCTTAGGACAGACAGAGTATTCAGCGCAAGTCAGCGCAAGTCAGCGCAAGTCAGCGCAAGTCAGATCCACTTCTATGCCGTCTCTCTGATTCAATATAAAGCTATACCTTGCATGATTCCCGACACCAGCCATCTCCAGTCCAGCCCATCTTCACCATGACTAAAAGCCACTCTGAAATGGTTGCAGTTGCGATTTAATAAATGGATAGGGGCACACGATATCAAGACTTCAAAACTATTGTCTTTGCAATTTGGTTCTTATATCTAAGGTGTGCAATCTGAACTTTGGAGACTGTCTACATCGTGTACTTGGGACGTCGACCGTGCGCGTGTGATAGATCACAATGGATTCTACCCCGGAACTTCCCGTTCACACGTCCGAGGATCTCGACAAGGAGCAACCTGTCACTCAAAAAATATCCAATCCTTACCCATCCCATCCCATCCCCCAGCTCCAAGGCCCGTTTGAGGAATCAATCGTGGAAACGACCGATGGTTCAGCAACTAATTGGGTCGTTGACATCGATGCGCAAACCCGGCGGCGCGATCTATTGAAGAATGAAGAATACGAGCGGCTTTGTGGGCGAAAGTGGCGCCAAAGGGCCTCTGAAAAGTGAGAACTAAAAACTTCATCAAGTACGTGATGCTCGAATTGAACTAACCCAGCCATGCAGATATCATCCGTTTTGGAAATTAGTTTCCCAAATGATCTTCGGAGTTCACCTCCTAGCCAAGAGCCTGGCAAAATCTGAAACGTCAGTTATGAAGATCCTACAGAAACATGTTAATGAGTTGGATGGCTTTTTGGAAAGGACCACCGAAGATTTCTTGATCGTCCGGTTAGACGTTCACACTCGAATTCAGTATCTTAGTCTACCACTGGGAAACCTCGATGTCTTCGATGAGATGCTGGAAGACCGGAATTTCCGGCTATCAGTTGTCTCTTACAATGATCAGATCGAACATTCTATTGCCAGATTCACCCTTGCCATCACAGATTCACTCAAGGACCTACAAAAGGCGAAGGAGGCCTTAGGTGCACTGTGGTTCTACTTCCGCAAACTTACAGACGATGGTTGCTTCAAGTCTGAGAGCCTCAGGGCTTTTCATCAGGCCATGGTGGACAATGTGGAGGGTTGGATTGTCGCCCTCTCCAAACTTCGTCGACGGGGCACGGCTCTTCAAAAGGCCCTAATCCAACTTGGCTTGGCGACTACCGAAATGCAACGACGGGTGGGGATAGCGAGTAGAAAGGACGTGGTGAGCTAACAGGCCTTGATTGGATTCCTATTTCGGCGCTAACCATCACAGCAATCGTTTATTAAACATACCAGCAAGGCCCCAGATCGAAATAAGTCAGTCAAACAAAGAATTTTTGACAGAGGACAGCCGATCTCAGAAAAACCTCTTCCTCTTGATCCATTATCGAAGTCAAAGAGGACACCAACAGCTTCCAAACAGTTTGAGAGTCCTCCTTCCACAGCTAAAACCCAAACCAGCATCCCTGCGGACCAACCCATCCCAAGCGATGGCATCCGGCGCAGGATCATGAGTCGGGCCAAATCATGCAATGTTCTCCCAGCAGAAGCTGGCACAGGCGCCAGCAACGAACCACCACCCGTTCCATCGACACCCGGCAGGCTCAAACGGCAGCTCTCGAAGCACTTCCTACCCAAACGATCTGTCAGCGAGAAACTCCAAGCTCGACCGAAAACAGCACCTTCACAGCCCTCACGACTCTCACGCAACATCTCCATAGAACAACTCCGGGCATTCTGCGCCACTCCACGCCCTCGAACTGGACAATCCACCGTCAAATCACCCACACACGCGCGACAGGAGGCCCACAACCAACTTGCGAGTGGCCAGGAGACCATGAAGAACCAGATATCCCAGTTCCTCAAGACGGACCGCGTGGTTGAAGCCTGGGATAACGTATCCAAGACTGCGTGTTGTACCCCTCCGATCACCAAGACGAGGGACTGGCCCAGCAGCATCTTCCGGACCAAGTCTTCTACCACCCTAGAAAATAAAGGCAACACCAGCCTCCCCAGGCCGGACCTGCAACGGCAGATGTCCTGGGTACAGGAGACCTTCGACGTATTACCTACATACTCGTTCAAAACCAAACCTGATATGTCGCCCCGGATCCATGTTCTATCGGTGCAGATGACCCACGAGGACACTAATTGGGTGGCTGAGAGGGAGACGAGTTTGGATCAGAAAAGTGAACACGGGTTGAGTATCACCGCGTTGCCGGCTGTACCGCCATCCATTCCATCGGTTAGTTAAGAGGAAGGAGGGGTTTGTATATAAAATAATGATTGCAGATTTTAGAAGACAACATATAGATTATATTGGAGCATCGATCTAGATTGATCGGTTGTGTTTCAATTTGAGGAGGGTTCTGTGGAAGTGTAATATGTTATTGAGATTTGATTGAGAAATCGAATGATCGAGAATTCAGTAGAAAATGCGGTGTGCTTATTCATTTAACATTCATAAGAATATAAGAATATAAGAATATAAGAGTCATACAATCTACCTTCGTACGTATGGAAGTGGTTTACTCCCGAGGTACTCCGTGCTCGTATCGCCTGCGCCCCCGACTGCGCCACCCCAGCCCGTTTTTGATTTTCTTCTTATGACATTGATATCCCTACTCTTGGAAGTCATTTCTTTTACACACATCATACATCTGATTAACAACATTAACCTACCTACAACATACCACCATTGTACAAAGGTGGTCAGACAAGTCACAGTACCAAACTGTAGCCTAAAGTGCCAAGGACCCACCGCTTTCACCAGCCCCATTGACATCGAACATCCCACCTAGATAGCATTCTTTTCTATCTCATCTGTCAAATAATTTACCATGCCAGTCATACACCCTCGATATTGGTGAGTTCTATAACAATCCGTCAAGAGGTATATCACTGATCCCTCACAGCTCTGGTTACTATGGAGATGAGGACTGCTATTCCACCTGGGATTCTTGGGGTCGTTGGGTAGCGTTCGCCGTGATCGTCGGTGTAGCCTTTCTACTCTTCTTCGGTTTTGCGTGAGTCCTATCCTGTTCTCGTCCATACGATGTCCATCCTAACTAGCCTTGTTCCAGATGCTTCAACGCACGCCGCCGCCGAACTCATGGTCAACGTCCTATCATAGGAACCGGGTGGATGGCTCCTCCTCCGGGACCTCCTCCGCCAAACCAACCAATCTACCAGCAACCTCCCTACGGCGATCCTTACTATCAGCAAAATGCGCCCCCACAATACAGCCCGAACCCCCAGCATCATGGCTACTTTGGTGCGCAAAGCCCACCACAACAGCAAGGCATCGAGTTGCAGCAGCCTCCGAATGCGTACGGTGCCCACGGATATGCGCCGCCTCCTGGTCCACCGCCCAACGGCAACAAGGACTAAACTTCACGTAATTTTCCAAAGCTTAATGAGTATAGCTTTGAAGGTCTTCCGATATCGCATGTCTCTCGATGATAATGCCGGAAGTTAATGGTTTATGGCGTTGTCAACTGCGAAATGCGGACCTTTTTTTTTCTTCTTTTTTCTCTTTTTTTTTGAAATGATTGCATATCCGAATGGGTGGATTGTTTTTTTCCCTTACTACTTAATGTTTTATCACATCTTCCATGTCCCATTTAACCGAAGGGCAGTTAAATTCAAAGCATTTGATCTGCCCGAGATCCCTGAGAGAATGGGACTTGGGGTTATGAAGTGACGGGTTCTCCTGTACATGGTTTCTCTCTAATGATATATGTCTTGAATGGTCCAATGGACTTGAATAAAACGACCCGAATTAGAATGACACCACCTTTCAAAGCTGACGGGCTTCAATTCATTGGGAAATTGTGTAATTTATCGATCACCCGGTTTCGGAATAATAAAAGATCCAATTGGCAAATGCTTCAAGATTGGGCAAATTGAACCTGCCAATTAAACAACATACTTCTCGACTGTAAGCCAGCCTTGAAGACTCACGACTAGGGATTCAGATTGACATTGTGATAGAGCGGGCTGATGGAGTGCCTGGGGCACTCCATCTCCGCCCAACATCCCGCTCCGCCCTGCATTTTCCTCAATGCGACAACCTCCAAGCCCATGGATATCGACGACATTCTCGCATCGGTGGATCGCGGCCCAGGCGTCAGCCCAGAGTCTGCCGCGCTGGACCACCAGCTGCTCACGCGCTTCTGGGTGGCCGAACGCGCAGTGTCGGAGGTACTACCGTGGCCGGCGCCACTCATGGAGCGCATAATGGACCGTGTGCGGATACAGGTATACAGCATTCACACAGCAGCTGCACAGCAAAGCTCCCTGAACCCATCTCACTAATCCAATGCGAGGTCTACAGATCGAAACAATCGAAGACCTAGCCGCGTCGTCAGAAACAACCCTCCCAACAATGACAAACACGCACAACCCCAATCTCAACCTCCGCCTCTCAATCCTCCAAACCGACCTCGCCCGCAGCCAATACATAGTTCGCAGTCTTTTACGAGTCCGACTAGCTAAAATAACAAAATACAGCATGCACTACCTAGTGCTGCTAGCCTCGCGCAACAAAAACCCCCTCGCATCGCAAACACAATCAACCGCCTCCTCGCAGAACCCGAACCAGCAGCCCGAGGACTCGGTACCGGACTTATCAGAGCTGACGGATCTGGCCCCGCTGTCGGAGCCAGAATCGTCGTTTCTGCATGCCCACCAGACGCTCCTGGCGGGCCACTACGCGGGGTCGTTTATGGGGGCATTCCCGCGCCAGCTACGGCGGTTGGATGATAATGCCGGTGGGACAAGTATGGTCCAGGGGCCGGAGTTGAGAGAGGTTGTTTTTGTTCGGTGTCTCGGGGCGGACGTTCCAGTTGTTGTTGGCGGAGAGGAGGAGGAATATGAGACGGGGATTACGATGCGGATGGGGGATGTTTGGGTTGTGAGATGGGAAGGAGTTAAGGGGGCTTGGGGGAGAGGGGAGGTGGAATTGTTGTGATATCTTCAGTCTTTTGGGCTGGGGTTTAATATTCGACTTCATCATAGCGGAGTGGCGTTATTTGAGTGTTTAATGTTTTCTTCTTTGCACGATTGGGGCTAGCTTCTACGATGTAGACAGTTGAGAGATACCATGCCTGTCCTGCCAATGTCCATTGGCCCTGCATTAAACATCTTACATGAAATGAGATGGCTTTTAGATAACTATTTCAATTCTTTCATTCCCTTGAAAAAGACGCCAATCGCTAAGCTCAGAGAAACGCAAGCACAACCTGAAAGCAAACACAAACACCGAGATGCTAGGACGCCCCAGATCATAGAATCATAACAAACCAGAGCAAATGAAGTAGATCAGAGAGAAGGCAGATGCCACTGATGCACTGAAATGGTCGGACTTTATGCGACATACCCGTAGGTGGGGGGTTCTTCCGAGACTCGCTCCAGGTATTCGCGGTCAATTAGACTCTCAATGCGACGCTTGATCATATTGACGTCTGGAACAAAGCGAGCGGAGAGTTGCGAAAGGGTTTCAGTCATTAGTTGAGAATGAGTAAGCGTTTTGCGTTGTCTGTCAGAAATTAGTTCGTCAGATCGTATACGAGAGGTATTTCGAGAGACATAGGGCCATACTTCATGATGCGGACGACGGCAGCTTCGATGGTACCGTTGCGCTCGTCATTCATCTTCTTTTCAGTGACCTTGCGCTGATCTTGGTTTTCGACCTTATTCGCAGCGCCGCTAACTACTCCGATGCGCACTTTCACAAAGGAGCTGTGGAAATCATGGTTGAAAAGGAAGCGGTCGGTGGGCTTGACGTCCTTGCTCATAGGATCCTTCTTCAGAACTCGAGTCTTTGGGGCAACGGCGAGCGATTGCAAGTTGCGGATTAGGTCGTGGTCTTGGATCCGGGTGCGAGTTTTGATTTCGTCATATGTAAGAGCTTCACCATCTGGGATATCGTTGAATAGGAGCAAGATAACCATAGCATACGTTGACACGTTGAGTTCATAGCGCTGGGATTTTCCACTGGAGCGTACGAAAGTGGCTCGAAGATCGCCAGTGCCCATGCTAGCTTGCCATGACAGTTTGCGACCGCTGTGCTTGTCGAGATAAAATCTCTCGAAGCTTTGCTTCAGTGTTTCAATCTCCCGTGGGAAAATGCAAGGTAAGAGGATTGTTCCCTCTTTGCTTGCCATGATTTCCATCGGCCACATGGTGCTAGTGAGAACGTTGATCTCCAGATCCACGGGTTTCTGGTCCCGATCACCACTGCGCGCAATATGCTCCTTGTAGCTGGTGGTGAGATCCTCCGATATGGTCATATCCTTGAACATGGACTCAATGCGTTGAGTAAACTGGTTGCCGACCTCCAACTTCATCTTGGAAATCATCTGTCTTTCTGCATCCATGCTGACAGAGCGTTTCATCAAAAGACGGCGTGATAGATGTTTCTTATAATAGGTCTCAAATAGATCCTTGTCCTTGATGTAGCGCAGCAGTGTGATTCCGTTGTCTAGGAGAACGTCTACCTCGTTTTCTGTTTTTCCCTTAATGCCCTTCTTCAAGTTTTCATCAAAGAAGAGAGATAGATATTCAGAGTTTCGCGAGTTCAGATTGATGAAATTGGCGAAGCTGGCCCCAATTGAGCCTTGAATGCCCTGGTCGAAGGCGAAGGCATTCTCCCAAATGTTATCGAATTTCCGCTTGAGGCCGAGAATGCCATCGACCCAGCGGATGGCTGACGCTGTTTGCTGGTTTTGAGGCTTTTCCTTATCCTTCCCCTTCTCGGGCTTTTTCTCTTTTTCGCCATTTTTCTCTGCCGATGGGGGTGGGGCTTGTGGTAAGAGCATAGACGAAGCATTGATTTCTTTGCCCATTTCCACAATCCGCTTGTTGACCATGTTCGTCAAAGCTTGCTTCTTTTTGTCGACTCTTTTATTGAGCATGTAAACATTCCGTAGCCCCTCCAACTGATCGTGATCCAGCATGCGCCGAACACCGGTTCCCTCGAGATTGACAACTTCTTCAATATTGTTCCGGATTAGCTGCTCATCAAGCAACTCGAGAACCTTAGGCTCTGTCGCGACTGATAACATGTAACGACACCGTTCCTCCTCTTCAGTGATCCGTTGGGTTGCGAGTCGACAAAACGTGGCAGCGTCTCCCATTTCCAACAGCCGTTGCCCTTCTGCCTGGTAGAACTCCTTACTCGTTTTGAGAAAGGCCGGTTCAAACTCGGTTAAATAAAGCTTTGAGCTCTCCTCCTCTGTAGCAGTTTCGTAAAGACCCTCCAACATTTGGATGCAGTGCCGGATGAGCGGCCGCTCAATGATATGCCCAGAACGTTCCAGCTGAATCATGAATAGTATGGTGGATTCGAGCACATCCATAACAGTCAAAGCGGAGCCTGCACGGATGCGAGCTCGCAGGATATGATCTCGGAATAGAGCCATGCAGGCAACATAGATGGGTGGGTGAGTACGGCTTGCCACCATACGGTCCTACGCAAGAATTTAGAGCATTGTAGCAGTACTGTAGAGTGTAAGGAACTCACCATGTACATCAGAACATCAGTAACCATACCCATACCCAATTGGTGATCTTCCCAAGCATCCTTCAGCACCGTGAGAAACTTCTCCCCCGCCTCCCTCCTCTCACTCGACTGGTCCTGCGCGTCGGTGGATTTTTGCGCACGCACTAGGCTCGATGAAATTGAATCGACAATAAGGGTTTGAACATTGCTTTTTAGCCAGTCCTGCTCCAGTTGTTTGACTTGTTCATAAAGATCAGGAGCCCGCATCATCAAGACGATTTTGTAGGCATGGCGGTAGATCTCTTCGAATGCCAGGGTTGAGGCATTTTTGGTATTGATTTCAGTCAATGATGATGAGAGAACTGTCCATATAGAATCAAAATCTTCGGTTTTGGCATGTGAGACTCCCTAGAAGTATAGTTAGTAGATAGCTTCATAGTTTTGACCCCGCGGTATCAACGAACCCTTCGGGGAGCTCGAATCTTGTGACGAGCCCTCATTGCTGCCATCTTGAAGGCAATAGTAAGCCCAAGAAAAAGTGAGTAAATAGAGAACGAGAGGAAAAAAAAAAGGTGAAGGAGAACTGCCCTCTTCTCTCCGCGGAGGCTGACCCCGGAAATTCTAAAGTTCCGTCTGTCGCTGACCGAGCATCGTCATTTCCCTGGTGTCTTTTTTTCTTCCCCGAGTTTTGTCTCAGAAGTTCCTGAACAGTTTCTCGTTGAGTTGCAATATCACTATCTTTGAAATTATTCCACTGTCAGCTTCTAGAAACTTTCACACACTATCACCATGCGCCCTTTCACCTTGCGTCTCCGCCCATTAAATGCCCTTGTGTCGCAAGCGCAGTCATACACTTCTGTTACGCGCACACAATCCTTACGATTCCTCTCATTACCATCCCTCTCTACGCTCTCAGCTCGCCCATCAGATCTCCTCCCTTGCCCGCACCGCATCCTCTCCCAGACCCAACTCCGATACAACTCCCGCGCTCCTCGCCCTCTCACTGAATCACCCAAGAGCCAGGCGGAGCAAGAGGCTGAATGGGAAGCTTTGAACCAGGAGCGTCGCAAAAATGAGGAAGCCTACCGCATTACATTTACCTGCAAGCCATGTGGTCATCGCTCTGCGCACCGCATGTCCAAGCAAGGCTACCACCGTGGAACTGTCCTTATCCAATGTCCCTCATGTGACTCGCGCCATATCATGAGTGATCACCTTGGTGTCTTCTTTGAAAAGAAGACAACGCTAGAGGATATTTTGAAGGAGAAGGGTCAGACATTGACCCATGGCCACATGGAGGGTAACCTGGAATTCTGGGAGGATGGGTCTGTGAAGAGCTATGACTTGGAGGGTAAGGAGATCCTAGGAGCACGCGATGATGATAAATCGACTTGAGTTTATTTGGAGTGAGGTTTTTGCATGGATTTTTTGGTGAATTCGATGCATATCAGGTGTTTTGTTTGTCTCGTTGGGCATGTATATTATGGCGATGGAAGACTCTCTACTCCCAGCATGGCAGGATCCAAGCATCGACGAGAAAAAGGGTATACTAGGGATTTGGTACATTAGAAATCAATCATTTCGACTGAAGTTTCAGTTTACTCTCTTAAACATAAGGAATACAGCATGCATGTTGAAAAAACACGAGACTTGTACACAAGGCATCAAACTGTTCTTATAAGGTATATATACAATGCAAGTATAATGTAATAATCTATTCCACCATAACGCCCGATTTTTTGTATGCCAATAACACCATTTCATGAGAAATGCAAGTAAATGCCAAGTCCTCTACCAACCGCGTCTCTTTCCACGGTGCTCCAAGCCCTTCTCACGGCGCTTGTCTCTCTTCCGCTCGTTCTTCTTCATCTTGTCACGTCCGTATTTCTCAGGGTCGGCAACAGCATCGATGCGACGCTTGGCCCGTCGTCCTTCACGACGTTCCTTGATAGCCGCCTGGACCCTTGAAATCTGCTCCACGTACTCAGTGGTGCCGAGTTTTTTCTGGAGAAGATCCAAGACCTCGTGGCAGTTGGATACGAGAGACTTGTACGTGTTCTGGAAGGTATCATCCGAGGAGCGTGGCGCAGGAATTGAGGGATCCGTCAGATGCTGCAGGGGAATGAGAATGACACGGAGAGAAGGACGGATCTGATCAACTTCGATGTGGCGGATTAGCGCGGCAAGAAGCGTGATGGCAGCTGTCTTGGGAATGAGGGCGTTTGCTCGGCCGGAGATAGTTTCCCGTCGCAATAGGGAGGAGACCTGCTTGAAGATGTAGTGGATTGCAGATCTGTTATATTCCACCTTGGTTTCCCCCTTTGCTTGTCCATCAGCTTCACTGCCAGCATCCTCATCCTCGTCTTCGTCTTCGGATTCAACACTCTCGCCTGCTAGCTTTGGAAGTTCGAGACCGTTTTGGGAACAGCAACGTCCAAGGAAGACAGTGTTCCGCACACTCTGCATAG